TTAATAATAATATTTAATATTTAATATTTAATAATAATATTTAATATTTAATATTTAATAATATTTAAATAAAATAAAATTTTAAGATTAATATTTTAATATACTTTTTTCATTCTCGTTGCTCATTTTTTTAGGATGTTCTATTAATGACATATCTGCTCTATAAACAGGTGACTTAAGATATCTACCAATATTCTCATGATTATCTCTAACAAAATTTTCCCAAAGAAAATCACTTTTAGTTGTTGGAACCGATACATCAATCAACCATGATTTACATTTTTCAATTCTTACATCATTTTTAATTTGTTTCTTATTTCTAACTCCTAAATACGTTTTAATTACATTTTCTTTTTCTAAAAATAGAAATACAATTAGTTACATATTATCTTTTATTTTAAATAAGTTTAATATAAATTAAATCTAATAATTAATTAATTCTAATATTAATTAATAGCATAATATGATTAAAAATAATGAAATACTATAAAAAATAAAAGTATAATAATAATATATAATAATATGAAATATAATAACTAAAAAAATAATTACTTAAAAATAACTCATCATCTTCATCATCAGAATCATTATATTGTACATAAGACAATGGTAAATCCTTCAAGGGTAACAATTCATTTTCTTCAAAATTAATTTTTTCTGGACTTTCGATCTTCCATTCTCGAGGGCGTAAAATTGGTGATTCTAAACATTCTTCAATGAAACAAGGTGCTTCTCGAATTTTTTCTGGCGATTTTAAATCTCCAAACAAGATGTCACTTTCAGATCTTGAAATAATCTTTCTAATTGAAGATTGTCGCGAGAGTTCATCACACGTTTCCCAATTTTCATCAGAATGTATTTGTATTATTTTTTCTTTTGATCTTTTTTTCTTCTTTTTCTTTTTCTTCTTCCTTGTTTTTCTCTCTTCTGTTTCATTAATATCTTCTATTTTCTGCTTTAATTTTTTTTGCTTTAATTTTGTTTTCTTTTTCTGTTTCTTTTCAATATCTTTAGCTACGATTTCTCTTCTTTTTTCTTTTGTACTCGATGAAGAATTAGTATCAACTGCAGATACACTTATGCTATCTGGTTTATTTGTTTTACCTAGCATAGGTGTGCTACAAAAATTGAAACTTTTTTTAGATTGACCACTTATGTTGGATTTTCTTTTTAATTTTTCAGCTGAAGAAGACATTTTATATCTCTTAAGTCAATGATATCTTTTCTAATAAATTCAATATATGATTCATACGTTTATCATGATTCTGTTTGAATAACACATCGATAAATTTCCGATATCATCCGGAAGTCTTGCTATTCTATCAAACGAAGGGTTACAAATGCTGATGAATCACGTTCAAAAGGGTGTCGATGTCGATGAGCTTCCTGTTTCTTTTTTTATCTTTAACAGGATAGCACATAAATTTGTTCATACTTTTTAAGAAACAAAACAATTAATTAAATATTTAAGATTATTGTTATTTCTTCGTATAATTAAATTTTTTGAATGAAAATTTAGAATTTGCTTGATATTTTTTTATAACTTAATGTTTAATGATTGCAATTTAAAAATTTTTAATTTAATTCGATTAACAGTTTGATTTTTTATAGTTTGATACTTTTCATAAATTCAAAATTCAAAAATTATGTTTAAGATTTGATAATTTGCACAATTAAAAATTTTCATTTTTACAATTTTCTACAATTTATATATTTTAATAATTATTTTAATTTCGAAATTTTCAAATTTGGCAATTCTTTAATTCAAAACTTCACTATTTCTTAATCTTCCACAACATTTGAATAAATATCTTCCATTTATATTTTTTGATTACAATAATTTAAATTGAAATGCAAATTTTTATTTTTAATGCTAATTCCAAAATTCCTATTCTAGCTTGTGAATATTAAATATTTCTGACGTGAATGTCAGCACACGACTGGAAACTGTTCCCAATAAAGTCTTCCACGCACAAATTCAACCTACAAATTTTCCATATGTAAATATATTCAACCTATATAATAGCCTCAGGAAACAGTTTTTGCTCATAAGGATACCAAGATTTAAGACAATATATATATATAATAGAATGCTTATATGAAGTAGTATATTAATTTTGTATTTAAATAAGAAAGTGTTTATACTTAAATCTTATAAAATTACCGAAAATGAAACAATAATTAAATTATCCACATAAATAAATATTAATTTTCTTAATTTTTAGAACGATTTTAGATTATTAAATCATAAAATCATCGCGAAAATTCTTTAAAGGTTATTATTTCTATCAAAATAATCGAATCGATATGGATCAACTTCCGTAAGAAACAAATCACGAAATAAAAATCTGAATAAAGTTTTAAATTTATTATGTATAATTTATAATTATATCATAAAAATAAAAGTTTCTTTTTCTGAAGAAATTAATATATTTTATGAATGTATTTTAGATTTAAAAAATAAATAAATAAAATAAATCAAAATGCGCCACTCGCAACGTCATGTTGTTACGGCACTGGTTTCCAAAGGTACCTACTACCCGCCAGCCACGCAGTAGACCGTCAGTGCACGTTGGCTCATCGCACCGGTTACGTTGTTTTCGTTCCATTAGTTTTGAATTTGACAGTTAACGTCGCAATTTTCGAGTTACGACTTCACGTTTCTTTTTAGTATTATATTCCGCGTGAAATATTGTCTTGCAACTTCATTTTCTGCTCATATATTTGTTCGAATCGAGTATTGAACAGATCGATTGGTCGTATATCGCAAAATCGATATTGTAAAGGTTAATAACAAGAAATCGAAGGGTGAAACGATCACAATGCCGGCAGACGCGGAGCTCAGTAATCTGCTTAGCAGGAGGCAAAGGATCAACGACGAGCTTGAGGAAGGAAAAGATGTGAAAAAGCAATACAAATTCGTGAACGTTTATACCGAATTCCACGAGTTATCCCGTCGTGAGATCAAGCAGTATGAGCAGACCTTCAACAGGTGAGGACCTTCCGTTTCTTTCTTCTCGTATCCATTTAAAATTTTACCCGTGGATCGTGAATAGAAAAAGCCGAGAAAATTTTGTCATTTTTCGTCATTCTGAATATAATTCTTAGAACGAATTCCTGAACTTATATTTTTTTCCACTAAGGATCTATTTTCATGAAATTTTTTGTGCATGATAAAATTTATATAGTATTGTTAGGTCTATACATTTGTATACGCAAATTAGATATTGAATGTTAGATATATATATTTTTTTTTATGTAAATTTTATAATATCAATCACATAATGTATATTAAATTTAAAAAAAAAAATAATATAAAATGTTAGAATATGTCTGATTTATTATCTTTTTATAAATCAAATCTTCATTGACAATAATAATAATAAAGATTAAATGAAAAATTTAAATAAAAAATTAAATAAAAAAAAAAAGATGATTGAAAATATAACTTTATTATTAAACTAAATCCAATACGTATTATTACATAAAATGTGCATAAGTAATTAAAGCAATAAAAATGCAATAAGCAGCTGTTTATAAAATAGATCTATATTTTGTATTGTCGTCTATAATATATATAATGAGTACATACGAAATATATTTTGTATTGAAATACATATATACGATAAATACATATATAGTTGCTTTATTCAGCCATATTTGATTTCTTATTATTGGAGTCAATAATAAATGGCTATTTGATTCAATAAATTAATATCGAAATAAAAATTTATGAATAATTGACAATTAAAATTGGTTGAATATAATATCATCAGTATTTTCAAAAAATCAGTATCTTCGAAAAATTTTGTTCTTTTTTATTCTTAATAGAATTGCGAGATAAAATGCAAAGAAAATCGAGAGTGAATCATGACTTTTGTCATGTTCACTGTGGTTTTTCTGTTTGTGTTTACTCGCTCGAGTTTACGTTACTCCCTACAGAAAGATCATGTTCCTTTGGTCAGATATTTACTTTTTACATATGAGAATATACAAAATAATATGCAAGATATCAGTTGTAATATAATATAACCTATTTGATTACATTTGGTATTTTGCTTTGACTAATCGTTAAAATACTTTTGTTTATTTTTAGCTTACAATTTAATATACAAAACTTCAAGCATAATATATGTAAAATTTTAAGAATATGAAGATATTATTCGTTTGGAGCATTCGTTTGTAAAAATTGATTCGAAATACGTATAAGTATTCCATTCTAATTCCATGATTGATACTTGTTTGTACAGTGATTCTCTTCTAAAAAAAAAGAAAAAAAATTGAAATTGAGTCATTATGAAATCGCACATAACAAAATTGATGGTATTAATAGTTTCATAGTAATGATAAAGGAAAGAATCTTCTCCATGAGTTCGTATAACCGTATTGGAGGCCAGAACAGACGACCTCGAGGTCTGTCCTCTGTCTCTCTTGTTCTTCTTATAGGTATTTCGGAGTCAACCGGACAGCAGGTTTGACAAGGCAGAAGGCAGGGTGGACGACCACTTGTGGTGCATCCTCGAAAGCCTTGTGCATGATTATTTCGGTCTAGCTACAAAATTTCAGAGATACAATTATTATTATTTAATCATTATGACTGCTGAAGTTATCAGGATAAAATAAGAAGCGTTTTTTATTGACTAAAGTAGTGTTAAATAATTAAAAAAATATTAATTAGAGAGAACGAATTATGTTGATATTTTTGATTCATTAATATTTGTTAAATGACAATTTTGACAATGGTACACAATTCATCGTGAATATCATGAATATTATTTTGAAATTATTAAAGAAAATAAGTTGAAATTTTATATTCTATCAAATAAATGATAAATTATTATAAATTATCATAAAAATTAATAGAAACATATTATCATCTTACTCAATTTTTTATAGATATCAATATTTTTTTTCAATCTCATTACTATATATTTATGCAAATTCATATTTTTATGAATGTAATAAAAAAATGAATCTTAATGATATTTTTTAAATATAATAATGCATATTTTAAATATGTTAACATATTATATACATATTACATATATCTATATATTTTTGTATAATTGAATTTTCTAAAAGTGCATCTTATTCATTATTTTTGATATGAACTGCATATAGTACATTATATCAGCAAACGAAAATAGCTGAACTGCATTCCTCACGGCATAGGCGCTGATAAAACAAACGTCATTCAATTATTTATACGAGATCCGAGTCGATGTATCCGGTACAAAATTTCACCGTGAAACATAAGCACGTGGATGAGGTATCGTACACACGATGGATGATACCTCAACCGGAAAGACTTCTAGTACTCTGCAACGCTATCACCATCCAAGGAGTTGTCCTTGTCTTTAGAGAAATCAGTAAGTACATATCTACTTTTCCTCGCTTGTTTCTTGGTCTCGCCGATCTTACCATGGCCAAACAACTTTTTTCCTCTCAATGAAATTGCAGCATTGAATTTTACTGCACAGCTACAGAAGAATAATTCGAGTCCTAATTCTATTAAACTCTCCAGTCTCTAGAGACTGTAATGGTGCTTTTGTTTTTAGCTTACGGGGTCTTGAAATGAATTGTTCGCCTTTTATGAAAGGAGTAACGAATGTGGAACGAATCTTGTGCTTTTAGAAACTTGTAAGAAAAGTTGGATGTAAAGTCTTTATTGATTTTGGAATCTAATGAACAGTTTACAAAAATTTTATGTAGAATTTTCAATCACGCAATATTGAATAAATTAAAGATAATAAATTATTAAAAAATGGACAAAGAATTTGTATTTGAAGATCATCAAGATTCTAGGTTTTAATGAGAGTTTCGTAAGGATTTTGTTACAATTTCTTATGCTGGAAAACTGATTTATACTTTTTCTACAGTTTTATAGTGAACTTTACATAGAACTTTTATAAACGCTCTTATTATATCTTGAATTATCTTCAAATAAAATATTTGTTTCAATATCTGTGATATTTATGGCATTTCAATATTTTTATAAAGATAAATGAAATGGATAAAAATGATAAGTGATTTATCAGAAAAAAACAATTTCAAAAATTGATTAAAAGTTCATCTATTTACTTTTACTATTTACTAAAAAGAGACATTCTCCCAGAAAAGGAAAGGAATATATACAATATAAAGTTTCCAACTTTTGGATCAATAATATTGTTAAAAGTTTTAATATTTTTCTCCTTAATAATCATTGATGAAAAAAAATTCGGAGTTTCAGAGATAAAAATTTATTATATTTTTATGTAACTTCCAAGAAAAAAAATCGAAATAAAAATTTATCAATTGGAATACCTTTTGAAAGTTGTGATAAAATAACAATCGATTCTTCAAAGAATATTAGCAATGTTCATTGATCGATTCTTATGGATTTTTCTTAAAAATATAATTACTATTCCAATCATATTTTCTGCTTAGAAGTAGAATTTCAGTCATCAAAGCGATGCAAGTACTACTCACCTTACCATCCCACATGTGAGTGCAATTTAACCCCATAGTCGTAAACATTTCTGTAAAGAAATAGTAATCGTTTTTAATAGCCACTCAAACTTAAAAACACATAGTTATGAGTACTTTTTGTCTTAGGTCATAATGTCGAGCAGGTATGCTGATTAAAGGATATTTTTTTATTCTCTTTCTTTCTTCCTTTTTTTCTGATAAGTATTATACAGTTTAAATTTTTTTTTATTTTATAATAATTAAAAAATTACATACTTATAATCTAATCTCAATTTATCTTAAATTAATTAGTTAAACAATTTCTCAAGATATTAATATGTATACAGAAGAAAAATCAGGTCTCTTGATATATATATATACAATATATACATAACTTTCATTTGCGTTCTCTGAATTGAGAGCGGTTCATTATGTTCATAAATGTATGTTCAATTCAATACCGCATTTCATTTAAAAATTTATCAAGTGAATTAAATGCGAATGACAAGCTCGACAACGTGATGAATGAATCAGAATCGCATGTATATATTATACTACTTAGACGCGTGTGAATCAAAACGTTACGTAGGTTACGTATGATTTACCTATAGTTAGTCACGAAACGAATTCACTGTGCATGTTCCTCGATCACTTCCTGTATAGCGCGACGTAACCTCTGTCGCATATAAAATTTGGAAACGGCCAGACTTTGAACGTGTCTACCATGAAAAATAATTTCCTTGAACAATGTATACAAGAAGAATACAAGCTGGAACAATGTAATGAATACGTTATATCGTGTTTTATACCGGTTTTGAAGATATGCGTACAACTGTTTCATAAAAAAGACAAAGAAAGAGAAAAATTGATCGTCATATAGCAGGCAGAATATGTATACCTCTGACGCATATAATTTAATGGCAACAAATGTTCAATAGATCTATGTCTCTTGCTTCTCGAATGGTTGGCCATCTGTAATTTATTGTCGGTTAAATTCAGCTGTTTTGCATAGTCTAACAATCGATTTATTAATTTAATCATCATTTATTAATAGTTATTGCTTTGAAAATTCTTGAAAGACACGAGGTAAGAGTAGATTTCTTTAATTCGTAAATTGTTTTAAGTTTGAGAGTATAGATGAGGTATAGATAGATAGAGAATATAGATGAAGAGTAAGTGCATATTTCACTTTCAGAAGAAAAATTTGTTTGGAAAAGATGATAATAACATTTTAATGTTTATGAAAATATTTTAATATTAGAACACGTTGTTAAATGAAGTTACAATATTATACGTATGAGACCAGTTATGAGACTGATAATGAAAACTGATCATCCAAAAATAAACAGCTATGAGATATTCTTCAAACAGATAACCAACTAGCATTATGAATGACAAATAATGACACATTAGCGACATGACATTAAGTAGCTGCCACACAACCAGCTACAACATTTACAATTTAAAAGCGGAAGTAATTTATCGTGATATGTATTATTGTTCTATGGTGCTAATATTCAATAATATTATGCGCTATATATGATCATTGAACGCCATTATAATTTATATTGTGTATATGAGAATGATCAATATTGCTATAATTATCTTATGTTTGAATATTTTCATAATTTTTTTTGAAATCACTGTGAAAAAATAGAATTAAAAAAAGAAATTAATCCTTTTTTAAAAGATGGAATCAAAGAAGGAATAATTATTATTTAAACATTAAATAAAATGCAAGATCTATATTCATATAGATACTTTTTACTCAGAATTATTTTTCAACCAATTTTTCAGTCTTTTTACATTCTAATATATCCTGTATTCGTATATATACGTACATATAGTTAATTAACTATAAAACTATTCATTATAAATAATTGTGAAAGTAAAACAAATATCTAATTCTCGTGGAAAGAAAATGATTTCTTGATTTCTAGATATTAAGCAGGAAATAAAAATACATAACGATGAAATATCCAAGTAAACCAATGTAATGATAAATGATCAAGTAATACTTATTACGCTTGAACGATTATGAATACGTATATCTCATTTTTTTATCAGATCTGATGTAAAGATTCGCTAACATTTGAT